TCTCTCTCTCTCTATTGAGATGAATAGAAATTAGGTTTGAATTGTGATTCGTCTCTAACATAGTCTAGTGTTGGCGAACACGTGTAGTGTTAACAACAGACACTGTTATCCCATTTCCCGACATAACAGTTGTGTTTAGGAGTCGGACACGACTTCTGAACGCACGTGAAATCAGGCGGCGCTTTGCACTCACACGAGACGCACGGGTTTCCAGTGACCAGTTGTTGGCCGACCGTATAGTTGCGGCCATCAAACCAACACTCTTTCAAATCCTGTCCCGAATATATTGATAACACACCGCGTGTTTCACTGGTTTGGGCTAAAACATCAATCATAAAATCAATGCTCGCTAAGGTTAGGGCTAATACTTACGGCACTTGTACTCAATGGGACAACAGCTCCCCTCGTGATAGATGGGTAGACAACCTTGGGCGAAATCCCTGTTCAACTGTAATTTACATTGATGTTGATGACAGGACAGGGTGTTGAGGGGGTTGGAGTCATCCCAGTGCTCATCGCAGTGGCATATCTTGCAGTTATCCTCATCCGGATATATCCTCTCTCCCCGTCTGTACTGTCGGCCCCCATATGTGCACACTTTGTCGTCCCGTTTGGGCTGGTTTTGGGTTTGGGTAGTGTTGGAGCACACCTGACGCCCACAACACCGGTCCCTCTCATACGCAAACAAACAGTTGGGATCCGGTTTGAGGCCAAACGCCTACTCCGGACACTCGATACCCACTCCGCAGTCTATTTCGGCCATCACTTGACCCCAGAGTGCGGCCAAAGTCACGGCACTCTCAGATACGGCACGGGTTCTGCACCGGTATCCGCGACCCAACTGGAAATACTCGGCCACCGAATTGACACACTATTGATATAAACAAAATAAATATAAATTAAACATTTAATACTTATATTTTAATAAAATACATGGTATTAATAATTAAATACCGGTTGTATTTAAAGTAATATCGGGCATTGGATTACTATGGGACAGCGGCACTGATAGTTAGGGTGACCAAAACGTTTTTATACATCTTTCAACAATAATGTCAAATATTTTGGTAAAGTGAGCATGGTTACATTTCTGCGCATAGACAAGGAGAATCCTTGATATTATTAGATTACACAAAAACAATTTATTTACAAGTGGCCATAAAATCAATACAACTGACAACCAAAAATCTCAATTTAAAATGTTGTATATCCTAAGCATTGACAGGATGTTGTTATAATTTAAAAATATGTATAATTTTAATTAATATAGTGTAGAAACCGAAAATGTAGTTATAAACAAATCTATGTTATATTAAGAAAATTATTGTTAAATTATTTTGAATTACTGTTAATTTGTAATCCAATATTAATATTTCTGTAAAATTATTGCATAACTAATGTGAACTTGTTTTTATTCTAATGAAATGTTTATCGAATGTTTGTAGTTGAAAAGAATGTGCATAGTTTAAAACATGCTCATTGAAAATAACCAGAATATAAACATTTAACTTAATATTATAATATTAACTGTAAGTAGAAATACAAACTATTGTACTTTGATTTACAAATTGGATGTTTATGAATTTATTATTTTACTTATAACATTTTTATGTGACATTTATATTACAGTATAATCATAATTGTTTTAACTAATTTTTATTAATTAATAAATTCTTACTTACTAAAATGCATTATCGATTATTTGTGTTCATAATGTATATTATGGAATATTTAAGCACGTATTTAACTATAATGATAAATATAAACGATTTCGAGATCCGATACAAAAATAATACGCGATCCGGACTTTACGAACACATCATTTATAAATGTCAATTTATTGATACAAATATTGGTGTATGAGACATGAGAGTTTAGTCACTTTTATTCGTTCTTGGCAACAACCTAGTATAATCTCTATGCGTGATAAAATGGGATCGCGAATAACCATATCTTTTATAAATGGGCATAAATTAAATGGAAACGCCGATCCGATCGATGTTTTTATTATGGAAGTTCATTTTACCAGCATTGCATGTAAGTGGCCCATGGTGGTTAAATAAAAATTATTATTATTACTTTGTAAATTGTATAATATTACAATTAGGGATTCATAGTAAACTAAAATTAACCATGGTTCCCATAGACGCTTATTATATTACAAACAATCTGGATCAAATAATTTTCTTAACATCATACACAGTGAGAGTATATTTTGTTAGAATATAATTAATAATTAAATGTTTAAAACAGAAGGCAATGGAAAAGGCATTAAAAAAAGATCTGATTCTAAGAAAAGTTATCGAAAATAACGCAAACATTGAATTGACAGAAACAATTGAAAAACAGTGGAAACGATACATAAAAGTGAAATTTCATTTGAAGGAAGTTTAGATATTTTTTTACCCTTCATGTAAAGTGTAAAATTGCACCCAATTTTGGCATCTCTTTCCCTGATTTATTCAATTTTAATTTAGGGTTTGAAATAGGGGGAGGGGTGGAGGCCGGTCTCAAAACGGCAATCAACCAAGGTCTATCTAGAAGTGAGTCCTATCGCAAATCGTTTACATTGACAACTGAAATACACGTCAAACCCCACACAAGTGTATCCGTCGAAGGGTTCATGAAAAGTGCCAACGATTTGGAAATGCAATTCAAAGCCATCAGTACTATCACCGGTTCTGACCCGAGATATACTCAAACCGATACACCATTGGATGGATTGACATTATTTGTGTTGCTTAGCAAATACGGCTATAAAAGTGATTTAATTATTAATAATCATTCACTCGTTAATAATAACCAAAAGGGTATATATCGCGGATCGTTTGGTATCGAGACCTATACTCATGTAAGAGATCTTAATGGTTGGAAACAGCATTTGCCGGCGCATCCATCTGACAGTATTCCCTCAACCGCTACAACTCCTGTAACCCAACCCTCGACTACAATACCCACTGTTATTACAATGTCGACCACAAGTAGAGAAGTGTTGCCAACTGAACAAACAAACACATTATTTAATTTGATTATGATAAATGTGCATTTAAGAGATCTGGTAATCCTAATTAGTGTTATTATATATAGTATTGACAATCCATTGGATGTGAAACGAGATGCGAGCGGCCAATGCCTTAGCGTCGGGCCACAGCTGTAAGCATGCCTTTCCCGGATCGGTGTGACCGCCGATTATAGTGCCAATAAGTACGGCCACACCGTTCACGAATTGCACCAATGGTGCGCCAGAATCACCCTGGTACAATTATTATACTGTATATAATACAACTAATTACAACAAATAATTTTGATAAAACTAAGTTACTTCACACCCGGCGGCACCCGATGGGAAGGGTATGCGTTTAAAGTGAACGCCTGTATTACGACCCGTATTGTTGGGATCGTAATAGGCTTTATTGATTTTAGTCCAACCCATGCGTTGAATATCAAATCCCGTCCTGTTTTCGTTGTCGGCGCCGAACCCAACCATTAGAGCGTACTCTTCGTCCACATTGAGTGCCATCTCTTGTGGTAAACAAATGGCGTTAATCCCAGTCTTACCCGAAGTGCCGTCCAATGGGAGAGCAGTATTACACCACTAACTGAATACCATCTGTTAAAAAGAGAGAGAGAGAGAGAGAGAG